GTTATTCTTTTGGGTGGAAAAGACCGAGACTTTTTCAGTCGACGTTGGCGTCGATATAGATCAAAACGACGACGTTCGCATCGATAGCCGGAACCCCCACGCATATGCACTGTACTGGACTACATATCTGTTGATGTTGCTAAATCAATAATAGCAATAATTCACTGGTGATAAGAGAGGGAGATGAACGTAAGACAGGGGGCGGTGCATCCAGTGGAGGCACCGCCGCTGCAGACGGATGGGGCGGCAAATGTACTCCTGCCACGTATCAGGATGAAGGATCTCCAGGGCATGCCGGGAACTGTAGGCGGCGTATTCTTGCGTTTTTCTCAATCGTTGTTTGCAGTAGTCGCTCTTTCCGTTATGGTCACCACCACTGAATTTGCTTCGGTCACCGCCTTCTGGTAATCGCTGTCATGTTATAATTGGTCTGATTTTAGAAGCTTTTGTTGATTGTTTGTGGTAGCTATGGAATTGAAACCGTTAATTTTCTTACTCTCCAGCAAAAAGGAAAATTGAATAAAATGAAGAATATTGCTCGAATCACTAGTTTCAGCTGTCCATTAGTCCAGGATCAGGCCTGTGTATACATAAATTGTTGATGCTCCACTTGTTGCTGGAGGTTGTGATAAGCACCTTATATTGAGAGGGGCGAAGCTACATAGAGTCCGGTGCAGGCCAATGCCCGCACTGGACTTTGGGCATGACACAGGAAGCTCCTGTGTGCCTGCACTGGACCAAGAGGAGGAGGAGGATGAGAAAAGGAAAGAAAGAAGGGAGAAAAAGTGTGCCTGTTGGACCAAGAAGAGGAAGAAGAGGGAAGAAAGAAGAAGAGAAAGTGTGCCTACAAGAAACGCCCTGGACCAAGAAGAGAAGAAGAAAAAGTGTCCCTGCAAGAAATAGATCAATAAGAGAAGAAGAAGAAGAAAAAAAAGTGTGAGCTGGGAAAGTGTGCTGCAAAAAAAATAGTGAAATTATTAGAAAGAGAGTGATGACTTTCCTATTATTAAGGTATTAAATTGATAAGTGATAAGTAAATTAGTAATAATTTTTTTGATAATAATTCATCACTCCTAACAAAAAAATTAGAATAATCAACTATCAATTGTATTAATTATCTTAAATCAATTTATTTTATGAGTTGGGCAGCCAATTGTAGGAAGAGAGAGACCTGAGGGGATGGATTGACAAAAAAAACTCGTTAAATTTGATACCTGTGGAGATGTGACGGGAATTACTCGTCTAATCGGGTAAACGAGATGAGGGCCGTTGCCTTGAAACAAGTATGGAATACGAAAAACATGAACTATTTCTGTTCAGACTCTGCATTGAATACGTGAAGTTCTTTTTGTTCATAGACTAATTTTGACCAAAAAAATCTCCACAACTGATACCTAAAATTGTGCCGGCACTGGACAAATTCTCTGGCTCCGCCCCTATGAGACGAACTAATGTATTTTTGTCTATATAACTTCCCTACTTTTCAAACCCAAAGAAAGCCTTTGAAGTTAAGGGTGTGGAGTACAGAATAGGCCTGTCTAGTGTATGATACGATTGGCGTTTATTAGTCTATCCTGCTGCTCAAACTTAGAAAACACGTACAAAGTCACTTTAATACAGTGCAAAGTGCAAACTATATAAGAATGACACGTCTTAAAAAACTCAAACTTACTTAAGGAGGAAAGATTAAACCCAAGATAATAGTTCCTCTGGCTGAAGTTTCCTCAACGACCTCACGAAATAAACCTGAAGTTCCTTTTGTCTCTAGGATATGTGGTGCAAACTTGAATTGGCCGAATCCAAACAACTTGAACAAGACTGCACGTGCTCCCTGCAAAACTCACAGTTTTATGTTTTTGCATCATGTCGCTTGAAACCGCTTTCTGACCATGCAATTTTCTGCACATTGCATTTGGGAGCTCATGACGTACTGCCTTTACCTGTAACCTTTTTTAAAAGATAACCATCTGATAGAGATGCTAACAGTGACAACCATTGATTTTGTTTTCTTATATATTTGATATTCGAAGTTCCTCTTTCTTTTCATTTAATTGGGAACCTGGTAGGAAATTAAGGTATTATATGCACCCATTGTATCTAAAATAAATATGACTCTGTTTGGTTGCCCTTGCAATGATCCTGGCACTGAACTCAAAATATGTGCTCTTTCCAGCTACCTTGTTGCTGCTACTGGTTTACAGAGTATGTGGAGCCTTGCACTGGCAATTGTTGACATTTATGCCCTTTTAGTAGGACGCCACTTGCAAAATTATCGAGCTGTTAGTTTATTTTCTGTTGGTGACGGGGTAAGTTTATTACAATAGTTTACTCAGCACAATCACATATTTTCATAAAGGACTTGTTGGTATAGGACCAGATTAAGAGCATGTTTGAGCCCCATTTTTTTGGAAATAATACATTTTAGAATAGTATTTTGATGGGATATGTGTGATAAAAAATTAAGAAAAAGTTCTGAATTTACGTATAATATTATTTTATTGAAAAATGTGTGATTGAAAATAAACGAGAGAAAAATATATACCAAGCAAGGGCTAACTGGATTTATAATATGCCCTTGTTTGATACTCATTTTTCGTAAAATACATTTTTCTCTCTTCTTTTCAACCACGTATTCTTTAATAAATAATATTATATTTATCTATCAAAAAAATAAAATAATATTACACGCAAATCTAAAATTTTTATTTTTTAGCCACACATTGTCTATCAATCTACTACTTCAAAATGCATCCTTACAATAAAAATGAGAAACAAACAGATTCTATATATAAACATGAATTGCATTGACTTATCACGGTGAGATAGGCTGTGAAAAATATTTTGATGTTGGCACTTGTTAACGTACATGAATGTGGTGGAACCCAACTCATAGCGTGAGAGCATTCATGAACATGGTTTTTATTTGGTAATTTATTTGGCACTCAATATATTAAAAGACCTGTAAGCTTATATTAAGTTGAAGCACATCAAAGTATCCACAAGGCAATGATATTTAGTATTGGTTTTTAATGACAAAATGCTTGCATATGAATTCCTAGGACCTACCATTTGATCTGGAAAAGTACCAGTTATCAGAAGTTTGGATTTTGTGGGGATTGTGAATTTCATAAATAATATTGTGAATTATAACCTATTGCATTCAAGGTGAGATGCTCTTTAGAAATGCACTGAAGCCTGTGGCTTAACAGCCATTATGCACACTCCTTTCTCAAATTTCCAATCTTGTGATGGGTTACAACATGAAGTAAGCTAGTAATAGTTAATCAGTCCCATCCAATATTCTTCCCCTCATCTAGTGATCCCCATATACACGAGATTCACCTCTGGCTCAGCAACCATTAATTATATTTGACTGGTTTACTAAATTCTGTCGAAGTAATATTTCCTTGTAGGCTATGACAATGTTAATGTCCATGCCTCAACATTTAAACAAACAGGTCTTTATGTATTTCATGCATCCTTGGAGGCTACAGATAAATTTGGTGTATGCTATACTTGATGCTTTTAGTCACCTTGATCCGATCATCATCTCCTGCAATATTTTTTGACTGGATATTATCATGAATCCAAAATTACCCAACAATCAACTGTTATGGTCTTACAATCCTACATTGACAACATAAGGGGGGTGGGGTGGAATTGGATAGCTGTGGACGGCACTAAGAAAGAAAAGAAGCAAAAATCTTGTTCATTGTATAGTTTACTAATGTTCTACTACTTAGTACTAGTAAACATGCATGCAATGGTTTGATATGAAATGTATCTCTTTACTTGTAATCTGTCGTGTTTCAGGTCACTTCTACCCTTACTTTTGCAGCAGCCTGTGCATCTGCAGGCATCACCGTTCTCATTGGCAATGATCTTGATGCCTGTGCTAATAACCATTGCACTCAGTATGAGACTGCTATAGCTATGGCCTTCCTTAGCTGGTTTGCTGCATTGCCATCATTTTTGTTGAACTTTTGGTCGTTGGCTTCGAGATGAATAACACAAGCTCCCCATGGGAATTCACAGCAGTGTCAATTACCGAAGGACCATTCTGAAGTTTTTGTGCTGTTTTCGATTGATGACATAGACAACTCAGGATTCGTTCAACCTTTGTACATAAATCTTGTAAATGGGAAGTTGAATGTTATTGGTTATACTTGCACATTAAAAAACTCTTTTTTGCTATATATTCTTTCAGAAGTAAAATTTTGCAAATGAGAGTGCTATGGTTTAAAAACTCTATTGAGAGATAACGATAGTCTTTGACAGAGTTATCTCTATGTTTCAATGTACATATACATTAAGCCTCTGTCTGCCCTCCATTTTTCAGAACTCATTTCAAATATATATTTTATTGAACCCACAACTTTCATCGACTTTTTAACCACAAATTTCATCTTTTATTAAAATTTACTAAAAATCTAGTTTTAAGCTAAACCAAACAGGGGCTAAATGTGAATCACGATTTTCCAATCAAAGTTAAATCTCATGAAAGACAGTAGTACCTCTTTAAATTCATACAAATGTACAAGAGGCACAAAGTTTGACAAATCAATAGTCTACCTACAAATACAGTAACTCAGTAGCACTACACAGGCAGAATTTACACTGGAGGATCAAAAACACTCCAGATGCATTCAACATAATTTAATTATATTAAAATATTGCAACTGGGGTGAGGTAAACATCACAAAACTTGATAATTCCTCCATGCTCTATCTTCCCCCTTGAATCTTTTGTCTGATTTTCCATATACTACTGTGAAAAAGGGAATTGCAACAACTGAATTTTATCCTTCACACGAAAGACCAATTAACAAAAGCAAAGGCAATGCAGTGGACAGAGTTATCTTCTGCTGCAACTTTCCACAAGATGGCTTGTTCATACGAGACATGGCGTCCCATTGTTGACATACAGATCCCGCCAGGCAAGTAAGAAAATCCCTGCAAAGAATTGTAGAATTTATTATATTCAGTGTTCTCAAAATGAAATAAGGGAGCCCGAGAATGATGATTTTATATCGGACGACAAGGAAGACGAATTAGATAAAGAAGAGGATATTGAATTGATGTCCGATAAACAAATAAGATTTAAGCTACGGTACTATTTACATTATATAATTATGATTTTGAGACTTATCGTTTTGTTGGAAACAAATATGTATGAAGTTCTTATAAATCTATTGAGTGGGAATTGTCTAGTTGAAAGTTGAAACTACGAAAAATAGTCAAACTATTGTATTTCGAAAACTTGAAAATTGTATAATTGACTAATTGTAAGAATTATTAAGAAAATATAGTATTTTATAATTTTAGATGTTTAGTATGTATTACTTTAATTATTAAATGGTTTTTTAATGAATAAAAGTTTAAAACAGTATTAAAAATAAGAGAACGTTTTTTGCGCCTAGACTTGCCTAGCTTGAAATGGCAAAGCAGCTTATGATAAATTGATGCCAAAACTTGCATACAGGGGTATCTGGTTCTATGCATCAAAACTTCCCAACTACAACCTCACTGAACCAAGTGCAATCACAAAGGTTGCTTTCGCTGCTCGTACCAATGAGTAAAGAGGTCTTCAATATCATTTAAAATAGAATATTCACAGAACCACATTAACTTTGAAATTTAATTGACAAACTTGTAGAAGCTTCCCGTATATTGCAACTGAGCTTCTGCTTGATGCAATAGATCGTACTTTCAGCATACTTTAGAAGATGTAAGTTATTTAAGGAGACAAAATAAAGTACTCGGATAGCATGAAATTACCTGTTGTGTGATCTTAGCTAATTCTGAAAACATCGCTTTGCATCCAGAATCATCAAATATCTTGTCTAATGTTATGTCTTGGAGAGCCAGCAGAGTTGTTTCCAACATGTCAAGCCCAGCTTGGTTTGCAAATGTTAAAACTGGCAGTGCCTGCTAGAGCAGGTTACGAAAGAAATTAAACATGGCTATACCAAAAATCTTTATATCAGACAGGCTCCATGATACATGGAGGCTTGCATATATATATGAAGGCTTCACGTTAGGTGTTTGAAGGGAGAGTGCAAAAACTATAGAAGTATCATCAAAAGAAAGGGATCTATTAAATTTAGAACTTTGCATACCTTCAATGAGCAGCACAAAATGGCATCTTGGTGATGCCAAAGTGTCTTCAATAATAATTCACCATTCAAAGAGTCGGTTCGCACCAATTCAACCCCCACATGATAGCTGCAAAAGCAGAAAGCATATTAGAAACATATACCAACGTAAACCAAGCCCAGAGAACAAGATGAGGCCTTTCCTTCTCATGTTCGTGTCCATGCGCACACCTAGTGGTGATTTGACACAGGACTTCAAGTTTTCAAGAATTCCGATTTCCGACAATACTTTACAGGGTTGAGAAAATGGCATTGGCTAGGAAGTAGGAATGTTAGAATCAGAAGTATGAGAAACCAGCATAACTAACCTATAGCTCTGACAGATCCAATGTGCAAGTGTTACAGCTTCTGGAGAGTGCATAGACAGCTTTGGCCCAATTGCAGGGCTCAAACTTGATGGGGTTATGGCCATGGCAACCCTCTGTACAGAGGAAATCACACTACGAACATACTGGCATGCAAATGTAGCAACATTGTCCTGTAAATTTCTCTCAAATGGGAATTGAAAAGCAATAGTCAATACTGATCGTGCACTGCAAGACGAAGCCGCATATCCAGCGGCATGCTTGGCAACCGGGCGAACGTCGAGACTTGATGTTAAATCTAGAGTTTTATACGAATTCAAAGGATCCTGTAAATCACCCTACACAAACAAATCTTTAGTTATATAGAATTATGGGTCGCCAAAATGTAGGCATTTGTAATTTTAGGTTAGCAAAAAATAAAATAAATTGTACACCATACTCTATATCTCATCCATGATTCTAGAAATATATGCGATATGTAGTGTCATCTTACATATAAGGTTTGATAGAAAGCTTACATAATAGAAGCCCCTTGACAAATACATATTGAACCATTTTGAAACGATCTTTGCAAGCATAAATGTTTGCTTCATGTTTAGTATACAATACTAGACGCTAATGACGAAGATTTTAGCTCCATTTTTTTCACTAATAGTGCACAACGCTGTTCATGTGTCATTACCAAACAAAAGTGTCTATGTTGTAACTTGTACAGCTCAGCCATGTTGCACGGCTGAGCCAATGTAAAAAAACAGAGAATATTTATACTAAAACTGAATATCTTGGAGGTTGCTAGAACAGTATCAAGTACAATCTTCTCAAGGAAAACAATAAAAGCAGGTTCACGAAGAGAATTTTTAACTCAACTGGTTTCGGATCCAGCGGGTTTACTCGAAAACCAGAAGGCAGTAGAGGTGCATCATCTGGAAACATTTCATCAATTGGAGCAAAAACTAGCTCAGAGCATGCCCCCACTGTATTCTCGTCAATTCCACTACACATCTGTAGATAAGGATCAATTTATCAAGTGTATATATTTAGGTTTGCTGCATCAGTAGTTACTAAGTTCATTCAAATGGCATTAAGATACTTGAGAACGCCACCTGTAGGAGATGAATGTCTCTTGAAATAAAAGCATCTTCATGACTGAGTGGATCTCCTTCCAAACGAATCATTTCAAGCATCTGGAATATGAAACAAAAAATAGAAGTAAGATGAAATTATGTTGCACTGATGAATGCTTTCAGAACTGTTTTTACTTATTATTCAAGTAACGGTAAATGGTCACATCAAGATCAAGGAAAAGAGGAAGTCAATGCAGAAAAGGCACCTCCTGCAATATAAAGATATCAAAGAAAACAGATACAAAATTTTAAGTCAATCCAAAAATTTGTGTCTAGGCCTGGCCGCTTTCTTTATTTTTTATTATATTTGTTGGAGGGAACTGAAAGCTTCTGTGGAACTAAAAGATTATCTTAATTCATTAGTTACATCTGTGACACAAGTACAAAGTATAGACCTCTTCGTGTTCAATTGTGTGTCCAAGTGGCATGATGATTTGACTTCCAGTGAATCTTGTAGGCCTCATTCCTGGATATGCATATGAGCTTGCTTTCAAGGCTGCAGCAGAATAGGCATCAACATTGAAGTCTGCCCATTCTGATCGATGCTCCCTTAGAAATCGAATTAACACTGCTGAAGGGACATTCTGGCAGCAATGAAATAGTTTAGTCCATTAAACACTAGATACAACATTGCCAATGGTGTGGATCTACAACAAATAGAAGGATATTGGATTTTGGTTGAGCATTGTTCAAGCAAATTGTAAATTAAAATCACTTCAGTATAACTATTCAAACCGACTAAGTTGTAATGAGCTATAAACAACATTAAAGAAGCCTATCTTAAACCTACATTACCATCTGTGGGTCATTCAGACTTCCAAAGTATTTTGTATTTCACCAAGGGTCCACAAAATTGTGCAAAGCAGGCTGAAATACTCAATTCAATGGAGAAATTTGAGCATGTTCGGCTGAGCTTAAAGAAAGTAAAAATGTTACTTTTTAACTTTTTGTTCAGAAACAAGTTTGAATATGTTAATTTCTTGTTACTTCCAAATAAAAAAATTTACTTGTATCGAAAGTAGTTCTTGCCTTACTATCTAAATAAGTAATTATTTCCAACTTTGACCCATAAGAAAATTTATTTATTTTAAAACTTGCTGATTAACTCATAAGTGAACTTTTAAGCTTAACCAAACAGCCTCAAGGTAACAAATTGTTCAACAAATGATTGGCGTAAGACCCTGCCAGATGCTAGGCAGTCAATTATTACACTTGGAACTGTATGGTTAAATTACATGCTAGAATACACATTTTACATTCATAAAGCTTTTGGACAAGTGAAGAGAATGCTAAGCTGTACGGCTCAATATTAAACTGGGAAACATAAGAATCACCTGAAGCAGCATAGACGCCTTCACACAGAGAATACCTCCAAGCAAGGAAACTGTATTTGTACCAGTGCTCAGGTTCTTGGATGAATTAACGGCAACTACAACATCTTCAGCACCGCCACAGTTCAATATCGACCAGCCATCATCACTGAATCCGTTTATCGCATCATTAAAGCCTCTGCACAAGAGAACATATTAGATCATCAACAATGCTATCATAACCACATGCACAATATAGGCAAAATTACATCACCATATCTCAATGCATAACCGAAATATAAAGGCAGCTACCTGATTAGTCTCTGGCTGAAAGTACGCAGAACAGCTGGTTGCCTGCCAAGACCATATACCACCTCACCACTTGTCTCTTGGGCTATCTGCCTAATATATCGCAATGCCTATTTTAAAAGCATTTTGAAGGGAATGAAAATCAGGTTTCTACTATACTCAATTGGTCAAATTTTCCATGGAATTAAAATGAATTTACTTAAAAAAACAGAACTTTATGCTCAATCCTTCAGAAACCAAAATTCAATACCAAAATATTGTTTATATTATTATAGCAAACAAAATCTTTTGAAAGTCATTCAAAGTATTGTACTCACTGCAATTGTCATTTTCTGTGCCACTACTTTTGAAGATTCATAAAGTGGTCGTAGCACCTCTGGCACGCTCCAAGCCTGGAAAATGTTACTCGAGATGTCAACCAAGTTCTCGACATTGGAAAAATATTAGGAAGATCTTTTAGAATGCATCTAACCCCAAGATTAAGGTGATCTACAATGTGAATGATTGATCCTCCACCATCACATGGCCGGATCAAATATCCAGATGGAAGAATATCGGCTCTTACAAACTGTGAAGCAGTAGCTGGATTTGGGCCAGCCCCAGTACCAGAAAGAGATCTCTCACACACCTTAAAGGAAGAATGATCATAAACACACATTTTTATCTCCGCCTTGATAATTATATCATGCTTCAAAAGATTTAAAAACTCAAAACTAAATCAACCGTTTTGATAGAATTGAGATGTTTCAATAGCAAACAAAAAGACACTGAACAAAAGCAAAAAATATTTCTACTTGAGAGGAAAACCAGAGATATTTTCATATCAATGTATTTGTTTTTGTTCATCATCCATTTTGTTTTCATAGAGGAGTCATAGATCCACACGAGTCTGGAACATTAGACCTATAGTGAGGCTTTCCATAGCAAGTAAGAGAAAAATAAGAACATATTGATGAACATGTTGCAAGCACATTTAGATAGAGGAAACTATTTCTTTAGTACAAAGGCCAATAGCTAAATCCACGAGAGATCCCAAACAATTTATGCATTATTCTCATGCAGGAGAGATCTCAAACAATTTATGCATCATGCTCACGTGCCAAAATCTAAAATTAGTAATTGACAAGCACAATTGACATAGAAGCAAGATAGTTATAATATATTAATATATGTATTGGACGAACGTTGATATATTTGCATACCACAAGACTGCCATTCTCTAAGGTGGTTGTGTATCTCAGAGTCCAAAAATCACGAGCAGGAGCCAGTATTGTTGGCGCATACGTCTGAAAGCAATGTATGTAGATTACTATACCGCTGAATGAAGCATTGAAAGAGTATGACATTCACACCACTCACCTGGGTATAGAGAAGCTCAATTGTTCCTCCATTTCCAGCCTGAAACATAGTGAAAACTTCAAGGCTCCGACAGTCCCGGAACCAAATATTTCGATCTTTAAGAATCTCTGCAATCTGTAAATTTCAAAACAAGTTCAAACAGACCGCTAATGTTAGCCACATCAGAATTAGGTGCTTAAAGAAGTCTTCAAAGTCAACGTCAAACTAATTGCTATGCTTACCCTTGGTGGTTCTAAACTTACAAGACCGCATGCTCGAGCTGCCACTCCACGGCATCTATGTGAAATGGCAAAGATCCCTACTGAATCCGGACCAGGCTGTAAAAGAAATCAAACGCGTGATCCTTTCAGTCTAAGCCCTTGTTTGATCCCCATTATTTCCAAATACATTTTTCTCTTCTTTTTAACCACGCATTCTTCAATAAAATAATATTACACGTAAATCCAAAACTTTTCCTTATCATTTAATCATACATTCTCCATCAATCTACTATTTCAAAATGCATTTTACACCAAAAGTTGTAATGATATTAACATTTACTGCAAACTAAAGAAAGGATCATATGAACAGCTGAATAAATGGCCATACCTTCATTCCAGGCATTTGGACCCAATCGACAGCAGTTCCAGTAGCCTTCGAAAGGAACTCTGCCAAGGTCTCTTCCGCAATCGAGAGGAGTCTGATTAAACCATATGTTAAACATCAGGGATAATCAAAATTAGCGCTTACAAATATGTGTTCATAAGACAACGACGCAAATATTAAAGAATTGGATTCAATTAAATTACCCAGCAGGGTTGTTAGCATCTCTGAGAGAATGCTGGGGAGTGGTGACAGCCAACTCGCAATTTGGATCAGTAGTTCCCACTGGTGCCTGTAGAAATTTTCATATCAGAATATGAATTTGAAAGTAAACTTTGAGGAGGAAGAAAACATATATACCAAAAATCTGCAGATCCTAAATGAACGAAGTCAAACCCAATTAGTGGGACTTAGGACTCATTCCAAATCATATATGCTCACGACTAACAAAAAAAACAAAAAACTACAACTACTCCGGTAATGGTATCAACACACAGTAACGTGGCTGAGCCTGCACCATGTTACTGGATTAATAGCATGATAATGTACAGATTGCATTCAATCAATCCTGGATACACGTACTACTTTTCAACACAAGTGAACATCAAATATAGGTAGATCATAATAGATCAAAAAAGGTGAAACAGAACAAAGAGATTGATACCAACTATGGGTAAAAGAGAGTTGCATACAGTTTGCAATTGTTGGTGCATGTACCCATTCTCGCTTATCAGTTGTGACACCTGCTTCTGCAGGCGATCATTTTCCTCCATCAACAGCTTGTTCATAGCAGTCAATTTTCTATTCACACTTTGAAGCCCAGTAGATTCTTTTCTCTGCTTCTCCCGACACCTATATTAATCGAAAACACATCAACTTTCTGGCCTTCATCAGAAATCTAATAATTCTTCAAATACACAACTCAACAAAATTTAGACTTTAATCTAGGTTTCCAAGGTCCTGATAATCAGTGATCACAAAATCAAGATCTTCACTTGTTTTAATGCTCATTAAATTTGAAACTAACAAGTATTAAATTGCTATAAATGAGTACAATTCCATGTACATTGAAACTGTTAAAGACGCCAACATTAACATAGCCCAAGAAAGAATGCTAAAAAAACACTCCCACGCGTCAAAAGGTTTTGCCTTTACCTTCGATTTTGAAACCAAACTTTAATTTGTTTGGGCTCAATGTTGGAAAGAATGGGGCATTCTCGGATCAGCTGTTGCCTGCGCAAGGAGCTCGGCTTTGGGCACTCGGCATAGACCCTTTCCAAAGCCTCCACCTGCTCCGCTGTGTACCGGACATACTTCCCACAATCAAGATGCTTGTTCATGCTCCCACTGCTACTCTCTCTATGTTGCTGTGCCACCATAGCCATTCTCCCAAAACCTCCAACCCAGAACAAGAATACCTCACAAATATAATGAAAATCCTGAATACTCTGAGCAGCCTTTTATATTCCCACAGATAACTGACGAAGGTTCTTTGTAGCAGAGATTTTTTTGCTTAACTTACAATTTTTTATGCTTCGAAAGGATAAAATTGACGAGCTTGACTAAGGCAGAATATTCTTGGGCTGAGAACACAACTCTTACCGCTTGACTTATAAAAATGGTAACAGCAAAAATAGCTCAACAAAAGCTAAACAGCCTTGTAATGTAAATCATGTGCATACTGACAAAAAAATCAATTTTTCCCCTTTCGTCTTCACACAATAAATCACCCTTCAGTAACCCTTTTTAATACTGCTTTATTGTTCCGCCAAATGTCCAAACTTTCACCGGAAGAAAGGTGAAATCTGTTACTTTTTTACACGCGAAACCCCTGATTTTCACCCAAAAGCGACAAAATTTATGCGTTTTCTGCAGTGTTACTGCAGAACCCCTCACCTTTTTCTTGCAACCATATATGTTACCGAGTACTTTTAATAACCTTGCGTTTTTGCAATTCTTCAAAACCAAAAAAATAAAATAGAAGCTAAAGCTTGCTCGAGCAGTCAAGTTGAAACTGAAATTCCCAAAACCTTCTTTCCTAAAAATATCCCAAAACTTGATTTTCACCAAATATAGTCTTGAAAACGGGACACGTGGAACAAAGGTTTTTAAACTTCATATCATATCAATAAGGACCAATTTCTATTGGGGTATCTAAGGTAATTATATAAGGAAAAATGATATAAAAATTAAAAACAGAAAGCCCTATCTCTATCTCTCTGAAGAAGAGGGAAAGACTGGAAATACAGAGAGAGAGGTAATTGTGGTGTGAACTGCTCGAAAATCGAAAATGGCAGGTTTTTATTTTAAGCCGCTGTTTGCTGCTGGCTGTAGCCTGTTGCCGTGCTCCCCGCCCCACTGGAATTCTTTTTTGGAATATTTTTCATCTGTTAAAAATTTAAAAATGAAAGAAAGTACAGGAAACAAACCCTTGTTGGGGTTCCAATTTTTTGAAATTTTAGGTCATGTTTTCTTTGCAGTTTTGAGGTCATTTTCAATTTTTCAGTTTTCGAAAATATTGAAAACACGTTTACTTACATATTTTCAAAAATGAATTTAAAATTTATAAAGAAAATACCAAAAAAATCGTTTTTACTGTTTTCAATTAAACCAAGCCAAAACTTTAGGGGCCGTTCTCTTTGTGTTTCAGTTTTCTGTTTTGAGTTTTGAAATCGTTTTGTGTTTTGTGTTTTGAGTGTCCGTTTTGAAATTGCTGAAAATGCGTTCTGTTTGTTGTTTTGAAAAACTGTTTCTGAAAACATAAAACTAGAAAACGCGTTTACTTTGAAATTTTGAGAATTTTTTTTTTATAATATTTTATTCAAAAAATCTGATTATTCAATAAATTTTAATAGTTTAATGTTAATATAGTATTAATTAATAATGTTAATTTTGAAGTTGTTAGATTTTGAAATATTTTTTCCACATATCAAAAACACAATCTAAATTTTAACATCCATGTAGCTCGTCTAAATTTAACATCCAAGTGCTAGTCGGAACGAAGTACACTTTAATGGATTCTAATACTATATTAAGACTTTAAAATTGCATTTTAAAAGGTGTCAATTTGTCTTTAGTTTTTAGGAGGAAAATATCCTGAAATTATATCATCATTAAAAGAAACTAATGAAAATGACAAGCCAAAATGGACAAAGTTTACCAAATAGATGGTACTTATAGAAGTTCATGCAAGGAAATAACAATATTACTTTCACATTTCATCACATTTTCTTTTGTAGTTAATATTACAACAGTATAATAATAATTCTGATCAGTTAACAACAAAACAGTTGATACATTGATACAGTTGATACAATTTTCAATACATCTCTATTTAAAAATTTCTGCTATTTTAACAATTGCACAATTCCTTGGTCGTTAACTGGATTATACATTGGCTAGATTGTAGCTTGAGATCATAGATGTATTCCATTCCATCCTAAGCACATCCTAAGCAGTTTTTCATTGGCTAGATAGACCCGCACAAAAATCTTCATAGCCCTTATCCATCTCCTCATTTTGGAGTACAATGTATTCCATTCCATCCTAAGCACATCCTCGATGCTCAATTGCTCTATAAATTGTTCAAACAATCAATGCATAATGTATCAAAAACATTTCAGAAATTGAGCATCACCTCTGCCTCCATTAACACAGCCTCTGCCTCCACTACCTCTGCCTCCACATTTCAGAAATTGAGCATCAAAAACATTCCACCACCTCTGCCTCCACTACCACAGCCTACCATCACAACCACCAGTCATCAACACCACCATCTCCTTAGCTCAACACCCCCACCTTCACCAGCAGACTCCACCCATTTCACCATCACCAAAATCAGAATATCATAATCAAGTCTTGCTCATACAATTCCTTCCCTGCCACTTCCACCACCACAACCACAACCCACATACCTACCATCACAACCACAACCATCACACCCACTGGTCCAGCACCACCTCCAGCCCAACCTCGCCCTCCAGCTGCACCTCCACCTCTGCCCAACCTCGCCCTCCAGCGCCACCTCCACCTCTGCCCAACCTGCAGCTGCAGCACCACCTCTGCCCAACCTCCAGCCCAACCTCCAGCTGCACCTCCACCTTTGCCAACCTGGAGCTGCACCTCCACCTCTGCCCAACCTGCAGCTGCACCACCTCCAGTCCAACTTCGACCTCCACCTCCAGCCCAACCTCCACCTCCAGCACCACCTGAATTTCCAGCGCCAGCTCCACATCGACCTCAACCCCAGCTCCACCAGCAGCTCCACCTCCACCAGCAGCTCCACCTCCAGCACCAGCAATCTGCCCAACCTCCAGCACCTGCAATCGCCCCCACCTCCAGCCCCAGCTTCGTTCCAGTGCCAGCTCGACCTCCACCACCACCTCCACCTCCACCTCCACCTCCACCACCAGCAATCGCCCCCATCCCACAATTTCAGTGACTACAACATATTCCCCAACCCAACCACAATTTCGCACCAATCAAATAAAGAAACAAACGGCAAATCGGACCCTAAACCCTAAAAATTGAATACTCACTCATACCTACAGATTACTACAAGAAAAGAAGCAAAAACCTTGAGTTCGATGTGCGAAATCTGGATTCCAACTGAAACCCGTCGCTGCAGCGTGCGATTAGGGCGTGACCGGAACGAAGATCTTCAAAAAAAGCGTCGATCCTGTGTAGCACCGCCACTGCCGTTTACCTTGCCTTCGATGTGGTTGTCTTCTTGGTGCTGGCGTTGGATTTACAGAGGGAGTTGAGAGGGAGGGAGTTGAGAGAGTTGAGAGAGTTGAGTTGTGAGAGAGGGCCAGCTACAGTCGCGATTTTGGGCGTTTCGCGTGTTTTCGAGTTTTTACCTTGTTTTTCCAAAAATTTTACAAAACGATGTTTTTGTTGTTTTCCATTTTCAGTTATATTTTTTTCCTCATTTTCCAAAACGCGTTTTCGAAAATAAGATAGAGAACGCGTTTTCGCTGTTTTGAGAAATTAAAAACAGAAAACGGCTGGAAAACGACAAAGAGAACAGGGCCTTATTTATTTATTTTTTTAATTTTTGAAAACAATTTCTCTAAATGACAAAAAAAACACATTTTCAGCAATCTCAAAATGGACACTCAAAATGAATTCAAAACTCAAAAGTAAAAATTGAAATACAAAGAGAACGACCCCTTATTTTCTCTCAAATTCAATTTTAACGATACATTCTCTCAAATAAAATAATTTTATATATAAATAAAAAAAATTCTTACTTTTCAACCACACATACTCCGAAAAATCACTATTATAAAACTCATTTTCACAACAAAATGGAGCTCAAACAGCCAAACAGAGGCAAAATCTTCTGCCAGTGCTTTGCCTTACAAAAAGAGAGTCTCGTCCAGGATTGCTAACTAAGTTTTCGTTTAGTTTAAATAAAAATTAAATTCTTAAAGGATTTTGATAAAAATTGAATAAATGTACGATTTAAAATTGATAAAAATTATAAATCTCAAGAAATAGATAATTGAAAAATGAGTTTTAAAAGATATGAGCCAAACAGTATCTAAGAGTTTGTTTGGAGAAAAACTTAGAAGCAAAATTATTATTTTTACTATGTTTGATTGAAAGGTAAGTTTAGAAAAGTATTTTTGAAAAAGTATCTCTTATACAAGTCAGATATATTATTCAACAAAAAATAAATAAATAACATATTCGAATCTGCAATGCAGTTTCCTTTCCTTAATTCTAAATTAAGGGCGTGTTCGGTATGGATTAAAATTAGATTAAAATTGAAAAATTAATCGTTATTGTTGACATTTATTAGACGAGTGAGACCCAATAACGACTATATTTTCAATTTTAATTAGATTTTAATATTTACCAAACGGACTAGGGTCCGTTTGATTGTAAGGGTGGAAAATGGGTGGAAAGAAAATGTTTTACAGGGAATTGATTTTCTTAGAAAATGTTTTACTAGGAATTGTAATTAATTGTATTTGATTTGTATAATTTTCCATGGAAAATGTTGAAAATTTGGTGTTCATTTGACTTCTTTTTTATGGAATTTGTCCATTAAAATGATAATTTTTTTTACTATTGAGTCTAAATTTGTTCACATTGCCAAAAAAAATTTTTGAAAAAAAAAAATTACCATACCGATTATCATTCGTTTGACTTTATTTTGCATGAAAGTTGTAGATAAAAGTGAATTTTTTTTTTTTACCATTGTGTCTAGAATTTATTCTCATTGTAAAAAAAAAAGGTGGAAAATGTTTTCCCACCTATTAGGTGAAAAAACATTTTTCACCATTTGTGCATCAAAGGGTTGTA